GCTTTCATGGCTAAGGTGAGACTAGAATTCAGTCTCCTGGTGACTGAAGTCATCCAGATGGCTTTTATTGCTAAGGTGGGACTGGAATTCATCATTTCCTCATGGTTGGCCCAGTCACCCAGCCGGCTTTCATGGCTAAGATGGGACTAGAACTCAGAGTCTCCTGGAGGTTGGCCCAAACACACCACCATCTCGCTCCCAATCTGGGCACTTTCTGGATGTAGGTGCTTCCATTGCTAGAATTTCCCTAGCCAAGTGGCCCTTCCCATTGCAGGGGATTTTGGGTGCCCCTAAGCTGAAGAGGCTGCTAAGATCTCCTGCCTGCTCTTCTCATTAGTGCCAGGCCAACCCAGAAAAGGAAGGCAGTTCAGAGTCATCCCGAGTCTTAGCAGGATGGAACACTTTTATCAATGAAATAAGCTAACTTATCAGGATCTCCAATGAAGTTCTCGGCTCACACAGCGATTGATGGAATGGAATGGGGTCTGGATTACCAGGAGGGAGGGGCCGCATTCCAGAGGAGCAAGAAACAAGGCCACTTAAGAAAGCTTGTGGGAGAGAAAGAAGGTGAAGACTGCTCCTCCCTAATACTTCCCAGGGCATATGTCTTATGGGGATGTTAAGATGCTTTAGTTTGGCAAGATTCTGTCTTATCAGTCAGGAACAGTAAAGAAATCTGCTAGGAATAATCACAATGTGTCTTTCGGAGCTGGCTTCCCTTTCTTCCTCCCTTCCCCTTTCCTCCTTCCTGTCTTTCCTCCCTCCCTCCCTCCCAACACATTCCCTCCTCACTCTCCCTCTCTCTTTCCTTCCTCTGTCCTTCTTCCTTTCCCTTCCTATCTCTCTCCCTCCATCCCTCCCTCCCTTCTCTGGATTTCCAGAAGAGAGGCTGCATTCCAGAGGAGCAAGAGACAATGCAGCCTAGATAACTTGTGTGAGAGAAAAAGGGTGAAGATAGCTCCTCCCTAATAGTTCCCAGGGTATAGTATGCCTTATGGGGGGTTGTTAGCCTGCTTAACTTTGGAAAGATTCTGTCCACAGGTGAGGAACAATAAAGGGATCTCCTCGGGAGAATCACATTGGTTTTTGGAGCCCGGCGACTGCCCACAAAGCTTTCCCCTCCCTCTTCCGCCGTACCTGCTCAACTGAGAGAGGGAGTTGCTGGCCAAGTCACTTGATGGAGGTGCTGCCGTGTGAGAAGGTGCTGAAGGCAGAAGCAAAGAGGTGGAAGCCGTGGTGCTCGGCAACGAAGGACCTTGGGCAGGTAGCGATGGAGGAGAGGTTTCCAGCTTGGGCGTGGGAACGGACGAAGCAGCTGCAAAGTTGGGGAAATGGTATTCAGAGAAAGATGATGGAAGTGAATTTTGTTTGGGCGATAGAGAAAAATGGAAATATATCCAACCGTTTGTGCCAACAAGGACTTGGGTTTTTGTTTTTTTTGTTTCGGAAGGTGTGTTTCTGCTATGGTAGGATTCCTTCTCGCAAGAGCTCAGGGGCCCTTTCAGCTACCTACTCCATCCCCTTCCAGGGGGGAATGCAAAAAAGAACGACTGAGTCATACCGCCATGAGACTACTCTGCAATTAAAAGTTGCCCAGCTAAAATATCGTTGAAGGAAAACCAAAGAGGCAAGACAGTCTATCCCGCCATCGCTGCTGTCCCAAAGGTGCTCAGAGAGAGTGCTAAGGACCAGGTGACTGTAAGGAATATAAATCCTTCCATTCCCCACCATTCAGTCAGAACTGAAGAAACTTCTGGGATGAGAAGAGAAACTTCTTCCAGGAAAAACAAAGTCCAGTTGTCTTTTTTAAAAACAAAACAAAACAAAACACCTTTGGGACAACCATGTCTTGGATGACTGAGAATCTCCATAAACGCCATCGCTATTATTGATTTATGACCTCACTACTATTATTGATTTATGAATGAAGATGCAACAGCCTTCAAAACATATTTTAAGGTGAAACAGATAGTCCTCAGCTTATAACCACAATTGGGACTAGAATTTTAGTTGCTAAGCAAGAGGGTCATTAAGGAAATTGCACCTGATTTTATGACTTTGTTTTTGCCACGGTTACTAAGCAATTCATTGCAGTTAAGTGAACCACGTGCCCAGCACCCAACTTTCGATCGCGTGGATACAGCGATGGCCGTAAATGTGAGGGCCAGTCATAAGTCACTTATTTCAGTGTGGTTGCAATGGTCACTAAACAAATGATTTGTAAAACGAGGACTGCCTGTAATGGATAGAAAACTGACTTGCTGCTGCTCACTTCTGGAGTATTAAAACTGCTTTCTGCTGCATGAAATCCAGCCGGAGAAATTGGCGAGGGGCAAATAACCCAATATTTAGGGTAAGGAAGAGTAATATGGACCTTATAATTTAAACTGTAAGCTACAGCTGGGAGGGGAGAGGGGTGGAAAAGGAGACATAGGAGCCTACCCTGTTTTGTTTTTATTCTACTATGAAAGTATTTTACACCAATGTTTCTCAACCTTGGATATGTGGACTTGCAACTCCCAGAATTCTCCAGCCAGCCATGCCGGCTGGAGAATTCTGGGAGTTGCAAGTCCATACATCTCTTAAAGTGGCCAAAGTTGAGAAACACTATTTTATATCAAACGAGAAAGAGGTAAAAATGCTACGTATAAAATTCAACCACATTGAAAAAGTCAGCTTCTACCCTGCAGCGGGGCAGTCTTCACAATAAGCTTTTAATATTTTTAAAGTAATGCAACTAGGGGTGTTGATGAATAAGTAAATACATGGAGACACTGAACTGTAACTTATTGTGGGATGGGGAGAGATTTGGGAAGCAAATCAGCCCATCTGTTTGCCAAAACAGGAAGCGGGATAGAGAAACACAGGCATGGATGACATGCAGAAGCCGCCAAAAACTTTTCAGAAGCGAGATTTCATCTACTTACTGTCAAGAGATGGCTGCATTCGAACACCGCTGTGTCCATTCTGAAAGCCAAAAGAAAGGAATTAATTGATTCATTCAATTAAAAAATACAAAGTATATCAAATGATCCTCATGTGTTCCATGTCATTCCTCTCCCAAACGTTTAATTATCACATTAGCTAATGTTCTCGATAAAAAGACTTAATGATGTCTTGAAAACCATCACAATTTATGACCATAATGGAAGGCCCTGTTATGGTCGTAACTCAAGGACTGAGCTGTAAGGAAAGGATTCAAAATTAATTGCCTGGGAATAAAATAATAGAATTTTTCTCCCATGCTCAGAGTTTTAAAACTTGATTGACGCTCAAGATGGGGAAATCCGATTTGATCTGTTAAAAACACCACAGAACACAATTGTGGGTGTGAAGGTGTCTGCCAATTTAGATGCAGGACAGGAGTATTTATAGCTCTTTCTCCCCAAACCTGTGAACTAATTTGCACAATTAAGGATCTGCAGAACCTAAAAAAAATACCAATTGCTAGGAATTACAGTGGGAAAAGCCCTGAATTCTTGCCCCGCTTGTCAGGTTTTCTGGTGAATCTTCCTCGTTCGTAAAATAAATCAAAATATTTAGATTGCCATTAAGGCAGAGTTGACTCCAAACTGGATGGGCAGATTCCAACTGGACAATTATTATTTGGGGCGGGGGGGTTTACAAATCCATCAGCATTTCAATTGGGGTCTTTACTGCAGCCCTACAATTTGCCTCTCAGGCTGGAGGATTTTTGGACTGCTTGGCTGCTGATAATCAATCCTAAAATACTTACAATACTGGACAACACAGTAACAACTGTAGAGACCTTCAAGTTATCTAGGTTCTATCATATCTCAGGACTTAAAATGGACACCTAATATCAAAAAGTCATCAAAAAAGCACAACAAAAAATGTTTTTCCTGCCCCAACCCAGAAAGCTCAAACTGCCCAAGGAGCTGCTGGTTCAGTTCTACAGAGGAATAATTGAGTCTGTCATCTGCACCTCTGTAACTGTCTGGTTTGGCTCTGCAACCCGACAAGACAGACACAGACTTCAGAGGATAATTAGGACTGCAGAAAAAACAATTACTACCAATGTGCCTTCCACTGAGGACCTGTATAAGAGGGCTGTGAAAATATCTACAGACCCCTCACATTCTGGACATAAATTGTTTCAGTCCCTACCCTCAAAATGATGCTGTAGGGCACTGCACCCCAGAACAACTTAGACATAAGGATAGTTTTCTTCCCTGAGCATAGCAAGAGCACTTAGATTTATATACCGCTTTCCAGTGCTTTCCAGCCCTCTCTAAGTGGTTTACAGAGTCAGCCTCTTGCCCCCAACAATCTAGGTCCTCGTTTTATCCACTTTAGAAGGATGGAAAACGGAGTCTGAATGAGAGTGGAACTGCCAAATTGCAGGCAGTCAGCAGAAGTTGTTCTGTCCTAGGTTTCCCCCAAAAGCACCAAGCAGGCTCTTTGTCCCAGCAAAACCCCTTTTATTCAACGAAGGTGAATTTCTTGCGTCCACCTTCAGCCAAAGGCCTGGCAAACAGTCTTTCATGGGTGTAATGAGGAGCCCAGCCCTGATCTAGCCTGGAGAGCTGCCAAGTAACTATTTCCAAACGCAGTGCTGATAAGGAAGGACTCGGCACGAGTCTCTGAGATGCACAGATAGAGCTTCACAGATGCTGCAATGAATGAATGGTTTCCTGCAATAGCCCCCTTCCCTTTTGCTCCTCTTTTAATCCCATGGGGAGGGGCCATTCACCGTTCACCTGTGGCTTTACTCCCACATTAATCCTGAGTTCATAATTGCTCTTTTCTTTTGGCAGCTCTGCGCATGCACAAGCTGGGAACTGGCTCCAGCTGCTCCTCCTCCTCACTGCTGTCTGAGCCCGAAGGCAGCCGATGACTGCCAGCCTGCCCTGGCCCCATTTCTGCCTCTGATGCAGAGCCTTCCTCAGCCTCCAGGACTGGCCCTGGTTCCTCCCCAACCTCCTCACTGTCCGACTCTGCTGCCAGCTCAACTAGCTGCCGGCAGGCCACAACAGAAGTAGCTGTAGTACTGCAACTCCAACCCCTGCGCCACCGTGGCTCATACTTACCATGACAGCCACCGAGGCGGGTTCTGACGGAGGCCCCGAACTTTGGTATGTCACCCTGTTATGCACAGAGGCCTGGTCATAAGAGGAGGAGGAGGAGGAGGAGGAAGAGGCCGTTACAAGGCTAGTGCTCTGGACAGAGCAAGTCAGGCTGGATGTGACGGCAGGGGTGACGTAGGCGGACTCCTGTACTGTATTGGACATTGGCAAAGAGGTATTCAGAGGTTCACTGGAAAAGGTAAAAACCACGTATTGTCTTGGTCAAGGTTTATTCAGGATTCACTCGGCAGCTCAACGCTGGGAATACAGGCAGTCCCCGAGTTACAACAGCTTGTTTTGTGACTGTTCCAAGTGGCAACGGCATTGAAAAAAGGGACTTAGGAACATTTTTCACTCTTAGAAACATCGCAACGACCCCACAATTAAAACTCAGATGCTCGACAACCGACTCCTATTTATGACGGTTGCCCCCGGGATGTGGGGTGAGGTTGGGGTCACGCAATTCCCTTTTGCAACCTTCTCGCATGCAAAATCCATGGGGAAAGCCCGATTCACGTAACGACCATGCTGCCCACTTGACAGTGGCAATGTTTATTCACTGAAGAACCATGACAAGGAAGGCGGCAAAGGGGGCAACGCTGACTTCGCAAACGTTTCGCTTAGCAACCAAAATGTGGGGCCCAACTGCGGTCGTAAGTCGAGGACTGCCTGTAACATGAACAGGGAGGAACAAGGAATATTGGACAAACATTTCCACAACTTAAAAAGACCAGGTGGCCTTACAAGACATTCGAGTCCTGGCAGAAGTGAGGCAAAGTCAGGGAAAACTTCAAGGAAATCCAGCAGTTTATTTATTCAAGGCCAGGTGTGGCCTTTCTAAGGCTTTATAAAGCGGTACTAATACTTCGCGGGATTTGGAGTCTATGCCACTGTTTATACAACCCAGGATTCTATGAGCTTCAGCCTCTGAAAAATGCACTCCGAACGGTGGTGACCCAGGAAGTGAAAAAACACCACCAAAGCACGACGCGTAATAAGGCAAATGACAGGATGAAGATTCGTTCTCCTCCACACACCCCAAGATTAACCACAATTCTGTTCATGCTTTGGAAAGCGTGAAAGACCTGGCTGCTTTCCCAGACATGGGAAGTGCCAGTGGGGTTCGGCCAGTGCTGTTGGTTTGCGGTGTTTTGGGCAGCCCCGGGTTGTGTGTTTTAAGTTGGTGGGGAAAGGTATGAATGAGGTGGGACGGTTATGTAAATCGATTGAAATGAAGAAGAAGAAAAAAGAGGCGTGTAGAAGGTTAGGTATGCTTTGGAGTCTCCTGAAAATGCTTCATCGGAAAAGAGGCTAGAGGGGAAAAAAACATGAAAATATGGGAAAGGGGGCCGGAGCGTTCAAGCCACGAGATCTGCAGTTTAATATTCCGTCTCAAAAGGCAGATCGAAAGCCACCCAGCCAGAGGAATTATTACTGTGGGGCCTGGATAGTCCAGCGTTTCAGGGAAATGGGTTGGGACAGATTTCGCGTAGTTCTCGGATGGTGAATCGGAACAGTGCCAACAGGAGAGAATATTTGTAGCTCAGGGTTGAAAAGGTCGAAGGGTGAGGGTGCTTGGTGGTCTCTGAGCTTGGCGGGTTCCTTGCAGACGTTTCATTACCCAGTTAGGGAATATCATCCATGATAGAAGGGCAGGAGGGAGAGAGGGAAGGAGGGAGGAGGACTACTGTGGTGTGTTAGATGCTCTCTGAGCTTGGTTTTCTTGTAGATGTTCCATGACCCAACT